ATGAGCTCCTTTACCTTCGACTGTTCACAACCCCATGGACCACATCACGCCAGGCCCTCCTGTCTTCCGCCTTCCTCCGAGTTTAATTTCATGTTTGTTGCATCAATAACATTGTCTAACCATCTAATCCTTTGCTGTCCCCTTCGTCTTTAACATTCAATCTTTCCCAGGTCTTCTCCAGTGAGTGCTCTCTTCTCATTTGGTGGCCAAAGTATTTGAGCTTCAGCTTCAGTATCTGGCCTTCCAGGAGACAGTTAGGGTTGATTTCTTTTAGGATTGACTGATTTGAACTCCTTGCAGTCCAAGGGACTCTCAAGAGTATTCTCCAGCACCATAATTTGAAAGCATCTATTCTTTGGTGCTCAGCCTTCTTTATAGTCCAGCTCTTGCAGCCATACATGTCCTGGTCCCAACTGAGACCTTCAGGGTGTTAGACGAATTGCTCCAAAATGGAAACAGTTGGTACAGTAAGACATTAAGCTAGAATAATACAACACAGTTAGGGTGGTTGATGCTCTGGGTTATAATTACCTAGCTGCAACTGCATGGCTCCAAACTTCCAGCGAAGGGGTGAGGATGGGGAGAAAATTAGAAAAGATTGGCGAATGGACTCAGACCAGCTAAGACCACATGCCAAGAAGTTCTAGCTGTGCACTACTAGAACGTAAAGAGGGATGGGAAGGGTTTGAGATAGCAAGCTGGGCTTAAGAGGAAAAGCAGGTTTTACAGAGGGGGTCGTTAGGGTGCGATGGGGGTAGAGAGTCAGAGACGTAAGAGAGCGAACTGTGGGTGCGTTTTTGATTATATCAAAGGGGTCTAGAGGAGGAGCTGGGTCCAGGGGACCTCCCCTATGACACAATGTTCTGTCATAGCCAAAGGGTCTCTGATTGGATACTGTATTCCTCTGGGTGGGCCAAGGGGCTGGCGGGCAATTTGAGATCTAGTTGCTAACTCAATCAGGACACCTGGGCTAGGGGTATTAGTATGCAGATGGATGGCTCATGTCCATGCGGCCGGGCTGAATACTGGCTCTTTGTGAGTACGTGCAGCTTCGTTGGTGCGAGGGGGAGGGGGGCCCTGGAGGTAGGTGACCATGCGGCTGGTTTGAAACGGAGTCTTGTGCTTTCTGTGACCATGTGCTTGGTCTGAAATGGCATCTGCTAGACACGGGGAACCCCTTAGGAATAACAACCATTGCAGGAACACAGTCTTTGGTATGTATCCTCACCGGGCGGTCTCAGCATGTCGGCTTCAGGCACAGTTCGTTGTTGGCACACTTCATCAGGTACAGTATTGGCACACTTCATCAGGTACAGTATAACACAGTCCATAAAAACACCATAGCAGGCTTGCGGGCTTACAAGGGGGCATTGGCAGCAGCCCCAAAATTCACCTCCCTCCTGGCAAGAGGAGGCCTCAGACCCCCAGGCAAGGTGGCAAGCAGCAGCGGGACCTCCCAATGCCCTGCATCCTACCTGGGCTGGTGAGGAACTCCGATGCAGTGGAAGAGCAATGGCCAGCAGTGAGGAAGGCAGACAGTGGAGCCAGAAGAGCAATCAGTGGGCAAGTGAAGGCCAGGTCAGGGTACCAGTGCATGCCCAGCTGCAGCCTCATCAAGCTGGCAGGGAAGAGCAGAAGGGCCCAACGACAGGCCAGCTGAGCAGGGCCTGGTGAAGGCCCAACTTATGTCTGCTTTCACGGGCCCAGGGCCAGCCAAGATGCAAACGGAGCCAGGCGGGGTGGAGGCCCAGCCCCAGTGGAGCTCAGGCAGCAGTGGAAGGACCAGGTCAGAGGGAGTGGGCTTGGCATCAGAGGATTTGAAAGGGGTGGGGCCAAGGGGGAAGCCAGTGCAGGATGGGGAAAGGGGATAAAAGGGAAGGTGGAGGCAGCTGAGGAGGAAGCTGGGCGCCAGAAGGGACCAAAAGTTGCTGGGAGAGAGAAATCGGACTGTGGACTGTACCCAGAGGGGGCCAGGAGATGGGTGACATAATCCCTCCTGGTTACACCCTAAGACTGAGGTGACTCCTCTTCCTTCACTGTCACTCCTTCCCCCTCCTGACCCTCATAGGCAGGCTGTACCTCAGCCTTGGGCAGAGAGTATTCCTAGTTGGGGGCAATGTGCCAGGACCCCTTGGTCAAGGTGGCAATGGGAAGGCAATCACCAACGACCAAGCAGTGGCCCGACAATACATTACTACTGGGAATACCATTGCTTTGACCATACAGACTTTTGTTGGCAGGGTGATGTCTCTACATTTTATTATTCTGTCTATGGCTGCCATCACTTTCCTTCCAAGGAGAAGGCATCTTTTAATTTCATGGCTGCAGTCACAGTTTGCAATGATCTTGGATCCCAGGAACATGAAGTCTGTCACTGTTTCCATGACTTCCCTTTCTATTTGTGAAGGAGTGATGGGGCCAGATGCCATGATCTTAGGGGTTTTTTATGTTGAGTTTCAAGCCAACTTTTGCACTCTCCTCTTTTACCCTAAGCAAGAGGCTCTTTAGGTCCTCTTCACTTTCTACCATTATAGTGGTATCGTCTGCATATCTGAGGCTGTTGATGTTTCCCCCTGGCAATCTTAATTCCAGTTTGTGATTCATCCAGGCTGGCATTTCACATGATGTACTCTGTATATAAATTCAAAAAGCAGGGTGACAATATACATCCTTGTCATACTCCTTTTCCTATGCTAAACCAATCAGTTGTTCCATATCCGGGTCTCACTGTCACTTCTTGGTCCTTATACAGGTTTATCAGGAAACATGTGAGGTGGTCTGGTACTCCCAGCTGCTTAAGGATTCAGTAAATACACTCTATCAATTCCAATACATGCAATCATAGATAATTAAAGCAAGTTAAAAATAAGTTCAAACGAGAACAATCAAACCATCAACCCAGATAATGTTAAAATATTTGTATCCTATCCTTTAGAGGGGTGGAGAGATGAAGAATAAAGGAGGCCAGGCTTGATGTTGACCATTGCTGTCCTCAACCATAGGCCCAGCAGAACATCTCTGTCTTAGGTCCTGCAGGGCACGGATGTCATCAGGCATAGATTTCTACCAGGCTGGCACCGGGGCAAAAAAGGTCCTGGCTCTGGTTGAGAACAGCTGGATATCCTTTGGGCCAGGGATTGTCATAATATTCTCCCCCCCCCCAGAGTATAGCACTCTTTGTGGGGTATGCCATGAGAGGCGGTCCCATAGATACATTGGCCCCAAACAGTTTAGGGTCGTAAAGGTTAATACCAGAACTTTGAAGCTGATCCAGTATTCAATCTGGAGCCAGTGAAGCTGGCACAGCACCAGTAGAATATGTGCTGTTTGTGGGGTTCCACTAAGGATTTGGGCCGCCGCATTCTAAACCAGTTGTAATTTCCAGGTCAGTTTCAAGGGTAGCTCTGCATAGAGCCATTTACAGTAATCTAGCCTGGGCCTCCATCTATAGGGAGGCATCCAGGAGCACACCCAGTGTCCTGAAGGTAAGCACCAGTCTCAGTGGTACCCTGTCCAGGGCTGAGAGTTAGCACTCCAACCCAGAAGCCCTCCAACCCAGCCTCAGAACCTCCATCTTAGAAGGATTCAGTTTCAGCTGGCTCTGCCTCCAACCAAGATGGATGGGGTAACAAAGATGTTGAGTAATAAATCAAGGAATATAGAATACAAAGTCATTGCATCCTAAGCAATTCTGTTTTCTCTACATGTTGGAACTGACTTGGTTTAAAGAACAGATTTTGGAAAATCACAGAAGAAGAAGAAGAAGAAGAAGAAGAAGAAGAAGAAGAAGAAGAAGAAGAAGAAGAAGAAGAAGAAGAAGAAGAAGAAGAAGAAGAAGAAGAAGAAGAGGAGGAGGAGGAGGAGGAGGAGGAGGAGGAG